AGAGGAGGGCACTGCAAAGATATAGGCACCACCGTATTTTGTGAAAAATAATATACCACTTATTATATGTCCCTGGATTCAGTTTGCTAGTGTTTAGAATTCTGCAACCACATTCATTGGAGGAATTGGTTTCTCTATAAAACTGACGTGGAAGTACAAAATTACTTTCTTATTAAGGCTGCAAGGTGATTGACACATGGTAGCTGCACTTAAAAGCTAAGTGTTACAGGTCTTTTTTGCGGCGACTCAGAGGCAGTAGGCTGCTTCAGGATGAAGCTGAACATCTCTTTGCCAGCTGCTGACTGCTAGAAACTCATCGAAGTGGACGATGAATGGAAACTTCATACCTTTTTTGAGAAGCGAATGGCCACAGAAGTTGCTGCTGATGAACTAGGTGAAGAATGGAAGGGTGATGTGGTCTGAATCAGTGGTGGCAACGGCAAACAAGGCTTCCCCATGAAGCAGGTGTCCTGACCCATGGCCGTGTCTGCCTGCTGCTGAGCAAGGGGCATTCCTGCTACCAACCAAGGAGGACTGGAGAAAGCCCATATCTGTTCAGGTTGCATTGCGGACCAACCTCAGTGTTCTCCATGTGGCCATCGTGAGAAAAGGGGAGAAGGATATTCCTAGACACACTGACACTACAGTGCCTCATTGCCCGGGGCCCCAAAAGAGCTAGCAGAAACCTCAGACTTTACAATCGCTTGAAGGAAGATGATGTCTGCCAGTCTTTGTGAGAAAGCCCCTAAACAAAGAAGGGAAGAAACCTAGAACCAAAGCTCTCAAGATTCAGCATCTTGTTCCTCCACCAGTCGTCCAGCACAAACGTTGGCATACTGCTTGGAAGCAGCACACTGAGAAACATAAGCAAGAGGCTGCAGGATATGCCAGACTGGTGGCCAACAGAATGAAGGAGGCCAAGGAAAACACCAGGAACAGACTGCCAAGAGACGGAGGCTGTCTTCTCGGAAAGCTTCTATCTCTGAGTCTGAGTCCTGTCAAAAATGAGATTGTTCTAAGAAGAACAAATAAGATCAGATATCAAAATAATAATAAAAAAGCTAAGTATTATGTGGTGGAGGAAAAAATTTCTGCCTCGAAGGCTTATTATTTAATGATAAAAGGCATTTAATATACCACATGTGACATGTGATACATACCTATGTCTGAGAGGCATGTTTTTAATATTTTCATCTCCCACTTTTCTACCCTGGATTGTAAAATGCCACAGTTTTTCTCTACATGTTCCTGAATGTACTTTCACCTGAGCAACTCTGACGCTGGCCAAAAAACAAGCCTGGATGATGTACAGGTTACTAAGGAGGCAAGAATCCTGTAGGTGGGGCCTAGAGGTTTTCCCATCATCCTCCCGCCTCCTCCCTGACCTCCTCAGCCATCAGGCCTCCTGTGTACACGGCAGGTTTGCCAAGCATCTCAACGAGCGGTAAAAGCATTGCCTCACTTGTAAGGTGCTTGGTAAGTATTTCTAAATATTTTTCATACAAACTGAAAACCAAACAGTCAAGTGGCCTAAGGCTGCCTGACTTCAGGAAACCCTTGTGCTGCTGCCTATTGAGCATTACCTCGACCTTCCCAGTGTGCCAGCAGACAGAGGCCACTTTGTCAAGTTCTGGCTGTTTTGTATACATGTATTTTATTTCAGCTTCTTCATCTTTACTGTTAAAAACTTTACCAAAACCGGGGGTAATAAAACGTCTCATCAGGTATTATTAAATCAGTGAAGGGGGGATGGTTGAAGGGAAGAGAGGTAGGAGGAAGCCAATCCTAGAAAAATGGAATCAATGACAGTAAAATGTGTGATTTATCAAAAAGTCCTATCAGCCTGTCAGGACATATTCATCATAGTCTCTTAACCATCCATTAACTGTGCAATCATATGCTTACTCCCAAATCTATGATGGCCACAAGCCACATGCAAAATGCTAACACTGGCACATGTGGTGGCCAACTCACCTTTCCAGGGCTTTCTTTTACTGTGGCTTCAGCTAACCTATCCCCTGGCCAAAATGGGTATCTTCGTTCTGGGGCATAGCTCATATTTCTCCTCCTGAGGCCTTTTTTTTTGTGTGTGTTTTCTTTCCATTTGCAGGCCACTCTCTTATCGTGTCTGAAATCTTAGACTTCCAAAAAAAAAAAAAAAGAGAGAAAGAAATCTTAGGTTTCAAGGCCCATCAGATGACTGCTCCCTCCAGACTGCCTCCTGGATTCCTCCTAATCAGTATCTGTCTTCTCCATCGTTTTAGCACCAGTGCTTGAAACTCTTCTGGCACAGTGTTCCTAACACTCTAACTCCCCGGGCCCTCCCCACCCACTCAGCATGCCAGCTGGTAGGCAATTTGCAGGGGAAGACATGCCACATCCTGTAGAGTAAAGGATGTAGCAGTCATACTACCATTTGTTGGCTGTGATTTCTGATTTGTTGACTGTGCTCTCTCTTCCACAGTCTTTATGGAATTCTTACAATTCTAGTGAAGCCCTTTTCCAGTCCCTGAGCTGGGTGTGCAGGGGGCACTTGCTCAAACTCTGCTTGTGGGCAACAGTTGCCTTTTCTTCTGATGACAATGTGCATTATCCAAGATGTCTTCAAGGTAGTGGGAGTCCAACGGCTGAGTCACAGTGATTACTGGATACATAGGAAGTGGTGGGCTGCAAATACACATCACTGCTATGCTCAAAGCAAAGAAAGACAATGTCTGTCTGCAATGGCCAAGTCCCAGCCTGTTCACAATTGCCCAAGGTGGATGGAAGTAAACTTAACTGGAAGAAGTACTCAAGATGGTGATTTCCAAATAGAAATCAAGGATTTTTTCATGACACAATACTATTTCCTGTCACTTGGGTTAGAAGAGCCTCTTAATTCAAATTCTACACAAACAAAAACTGTCACTTGCTTTTACTTCAGAACAGATGGCCCATCCAGGCCCTGGCTTTCTATGATTTGGCAATAGCAAGAAGAAACAAGCAAACACTGAAAGGAAGTAAAAGTTAGAGAACAATCAAACATGAAACAATATGTAAACTAACACATATACAATAAACAGTGTGTAGCTGTTCACGAATAAAGCAGCACAGGGGTGCCTGGGTGGCTCAGTCAGTTAAGTGTCCGACTTTGGCTCCGGGCACAATCTCACAGTTTGTGGGTTCAAGCCCCATGTTGGACTCTGTGCTGACAGCTCAGAGCCTGGAGCCTGCTTAGGATTCTGTGACTCCTTCTCTTTCTGCCCCTCCCCTCCTCACCCTCTGTCTCTGTCTCTTACTCAGAAATAAACATTAAAAAAATAAAAGCACAAAAGTACATGCACAGTAGTCTACCATTTGCAGTAAAACTTTGGATTGCATGTAAAAGTTCTGTGTTTCACAAGACCAGCAAGCATTTCTAATAAATTATAACTTGATAAACGAGCTATGTCTTGCAATATGAGCAGTATGTGATGGTGAATGTCACATGATCAAAACTGAGCCAATGGCTCTTGAAATTTGCTTTGAGTGTTTTAGATTACAAGCATGTTTCAGGAACAAATTATGCTCGCAAACCAAATTTACTGTACTTTAAATTTTTTTTTTTCAACGTTTATTCATTTTTGGGACAGAGAGAGACAGAGCATGAACAGGGGAGGGGCAGAGAGAGAGGGAGACACAGAATCGGAAACAGGCTCCAGGCTCCGAGCCATCAGCCCAGAGCCTGATGCAGGGCTCGAACTCATGGACCGCGAGATCATGACCTGGCTGAAGTCGGACGCTTAACCGACTGTGCCACCCAGGCGCCCCAAGATTTACTGTACTTTAAAAGATTGTTCAGATTGTACTATCTGCAAAAGTGCTTTCAGGGAGACTCCTATTTCACTCTACAATCTATTCAAAAAATATTTGTTTTTAAAGAAACAAGCTCCAGAACAGAAATAACTTCCAATGATCAAAGGCCTCATGCTCTATATTGAATTTAAGCTTAATATTTCTGGAAAGTCTTCCCTCCAATGAATATTAAGAATGTAGGAAAAAAGGGAACCTGGGTGGCTCAGTTGGTTGAGAGTCCTACTTTGGCTCAGGTTGTGATCTTGCAGTTCGTGAGTTCGAGCCTCATGTCGGGCTCTGTGCTGACAGCTCAGAGCCTGGAACCTGCTTCAGATTCTGTGTCTCCCTCTCTCTCTGCCCCTCCTCCGCTCGTGCTCTGTCTCTCTCTAAAATAAACATTAAAAAAAATTTTTTTAAGTTTTTCTTGGACCTCTTTATAATACGGTTTTAGCGTACCTCTTAATGATTTATATGTTCTTTATATATTTAAAGTATGATTTTTGTCTCTCAAAAATAAACATTAAAAAATATTTTTTTTAATTTAGGAAAAGATCTAATGAACATCCTTTATTGTAGGCAATTATAACTGCATTAAGCCTAATAATAAGGGGGTGATACTGGCCTTTTCAAAGCAAATGTATCAGATTTCTGGTTTTCATCAGCTCTGGTGCTCAGAGGGGAGGAAGATGGTCGGCTTCATAATGTTCACTTACAAAAAAGGTACCACCTAAAGGTGTGCTCCTCTAATACGTGGCTGTTTGCAGAACAGAAGGATAAGGACCTACTAGCTTTGAACTACCATTCCCAAGTTAGTTTTGCATGTGCTGTGTACACCTACATATTTTTTAAGCTTCTAAAATGTTTGGACTAAAGCAGTTATTTTGCAAACCTTCATCAGGCAGACAGCTGACAACTAAAACAGAAACAAGAAGATAAACCGAAAGCAGTGAAGCAAAAAGCATTTCAAAGGGATTGACAATGTTCGCAAGCTACTTAACATGAATTCAGGGTCGGGCATTCTCACGTTAACAGTTACAGACCTCTTCAGAGCTGCTAGTAAGACTTGCCTTCTCATTGATGGAACTGAAAACTATGGGGGTCCGGAGGGGGAGGCAGGGAGCAGGCAGGAAAGAAAGAGGAGAACTAGCAAAAATCAGCGAACATCTTATTAACACTGATTCCTTTTACTCTGTGCTTTGCTTTTAGTGAATTTGCAGATAAATTCTTATAAACTTATAGTAAAATGTCCATTTTTTATTAAATTAAAAACCCGCAATAACCGTGTTCAAATTAACATTATACCAAAATTACCACATGCCAGCACATACAGTCACCCCTGGTGTTGGACACCCGGCTCAAGGCCCTGGAGGGACCCGGTGAGGAGGGGAGGCCACTCTTGGAGAAAGCAGAGTCGTTCTGATCACCTGTCCTCCTTCATCACCAGTGTCCCTGCTGAGCTTAAACACGGGAATCTGCTGACCACCCTTGAGCTTTAAGACCTTCTGAAGGTGCCACCTGAGAGAAAACAAAAGAATAGCCTCTAGTCACAAACACCAAAGCAAAAGGCATGGTCAAAAGAAAAAAAAAAAAAAACAGTTGTTTTTGAATAACGTCTTAAAAATTTTACACACTATTTTGTTAGAGCTATAAGATAACGTTTTAGCATTTTCTTAAGGACTCTCATAGTTTAACCAGCATCACTGTCAAGGCAAGTTTAACAAAGAATGAATGACCGGTGAATGGAGGGGGCACCAGGAAAGAGAAGGAACTTATTCCCCATTTCCTAATTCACATCAACCTTCAATTCTTGGCTGGAACTCTGCCAGCTCCTGCATTAATCCCAGGCTCGGGGGTCAATGAGCCCAGGGGGAGCCGGCTGGGGGCTGCCTGAGGGCTGCCTGCTCCTTTTGTCCTGGGGAATTAAAACACAACTTGGCTAAACAGCAAGCATCTCTGGAGAGGCTTCCAGAAGAGGGAGTGAGTGAATGTAGCTATTGGCAACCAGACAAGAAAAGCCAATTAATGGGGTGGAGATCTTCTATAAAGAATGTGATGAATACTTCTGGAACAGGAACCCATGCCTTTGTTCATCTGTGACGACTGAGGCAAGTGTTAGAAGTTGTAACACAGCATCAGTATCATAGATCTAGATCAGTAGAGCTGTCAAGTTCTTCACAGTCAGCAGCATAAGGAGAGGACAATTCAAGAGGCCTTACTTCATAAAACATCTGGACTGAGCTAAGAGCCAAAGCACTGGCTTGGTGTCCAGGCCATGAAACTTTTCAAGGTTTGAAAAATGAATTCTTACTATTGCAATCATTTCACTACAAATGAAAATGAGAATCAGGATTGTTTCCATTGGAGGGTTCTCTTCCTGTTCCCCCATTCCCACTCACCTTCCCATAATACCTCTGAAAGGGGGCATCTCTGGATGAGCTGACATAGTTATGGCCCTCTAACTTGGTTCCAGAGACTGGAATCTTCAACTGGGGGTATAAAATGCCAGATACAATTGGATACATTGTTGTCCTCCCAAGAGATGAAAAAGTGATGTTTTCTAGAGCTAACCCTATGAAGTCCAATGATCATTCACAGAATTGGTTGTTTTCTAGCTGGAGAACTGACCTGATTTTCCATCTGGCTCCCTCCAAATGTCCTGCCCCTCTTTGGATGGTTTGGTGAGGTCAGTGGCAGTCCTCCTATTTGGCAGAGACCTTATGTGCAAACTCAGGGCTCTGAGTACTTACAACCATATTCAAAAAACCACTGTTAAGAAAGAACAGAACTACAGATACATGCAACAATATGGACATCAAAAACAGGCCAAGTGAAAGAGGCTTACCCAGAAGCATATAATTTAATTTTCTAGAACAGGCTAAGCTATGTTGGAAAAATGTATCAGAGAAGTGGTTGTCTCTAGCAGGGCTGAGGGATGTGAGAGGACCAACTGGGAAGAGCATAAGCGACTCTCAGGTGATGTGAACAGGCTACATCTAGATGGGGGCTTGTTACATTGGTGAATGCATTTATTAAAATTCATCAAATAGGACAGATTTGTACCTTTCCCAGAATGCAAATTTTACCTCAAAAAAAGAAAGAACAATAAATATATATTAAACTCTGGTTAATGATATGTTGCTTATGTGTTTAAATGAAGTGTATGGATGTTTGAACATGATGTGTTCATGGACACAGATATGGCTAGACAAACATATGAGATAAAGCAAATCAAGGAAAATATTACAGTAGACCCTCGAACAACACATCAAAAAATCTGCACGTAACTTTTGACTCCCCCCAAATTTAATTATTAATAGCACACTGATGTCGACTAACACGTTTGTATGTTCTATGTATTCTGTGCTGTATTCTTACAATAAAGTAAGCTAGAGGAAAGAAAATTTTAAGAAAATCGTTAAGGAGAAAACACATTTACAGTCCTGTACTGTATCAACAAAAATCTGTGTATGAAGTGGGCCCACACAGTCCAAACCTGTGTTGTTCAAGGATCAATTGTAATCAGAGAATCCAGGTAGTGGCTACCTGGGTACCAGAGTGTCAATTCTTTTATCTTCTCTGTACGTTCAAAACTTTTCATAATGAAAGAGAGGATCCAGCCCATGGGGAAGCACAGAGGAGCCACACCACATGGTGTGAAAGACTTGATGACATGCACATAAGGCCACCTGGCACACAGTGGGGCACTCTGTACCTGTTCACCCCTTCCCTTTGTCTTCTGGGCTCCCTCTCTCAGTGGAACCGCTACCTTCCCACTCACCCATATCAGACATTAAAGCATCACCTCTGACGCAGTCCTCTCCTGATCTAAGCAGGCCATACCTCCGGTTCACACTCTCACGGCTGCACAGCTGCATAGCCACACTGCTTTCCTAAAGGCAGTCCCAGGGGTCCAGTATCTGGGTATTTCCAATCGGCATGAATTGATCTTCTTTTAAAGCCAGATCAAATATTTTTATCAAAATACTCAAGTATGAGTGGCTTTTGTCAGAAAAAAGTCCCAATGAAACTATTCCCATTAAAAAATTAATAAAAACAACACTGACAAAAAAAAAAAAAAAAGATCAGAGCATCTCACTCTTACCCATGGCTTCCGCTGGCCCCACAATCGAGTGTGTCTATCTCACACAATGATGTCACGGCCCTGTGGTCCCAGCCCGTCGTACCCACCACACCTGCCTGGGAAGCCTGCACCTCTGTGGAGGTCACACTGGCAGGGGGCACAGCCAAGTGCCTTCTCGGGCACACTGCTCCATAGCTGGCATTCCTTCTCTTCACAACAATGTCCCAGGTGGCTAACTGCTCCCTCCCAGGTTGCTGCCACAGCATTCGCTTCAGGGTACCCTGTCTTACTTGGGAGTTTTAAACCATAACCCCCTGGAAACCCTTCTGTATCTCTGAATTGCCCACACAGCTTCGAATCATTCCTCTAACTTGGTGTGGGCCCAAAACATATTTGTTCAACATTAGAATAAACGCATCTCATATTCAGGTGACTTTACTGGCTGAAATATAAAAGCGGATAGAGCTGAGAAAATGGACTGGCATTTCGTGGCAGCAATGGAATAAATGAGCATTAAAACTAGAGTTTAAAGAGTTGCTCACACTTGAATGAGCACTGACTGGTCGTAGATGTATTTCAAGTTCAAGGCAGAAGCTGTGGCACACTGCTGCTGCTCACTTCCCTACAACAGTCAGTTCCAGATGGTGCCCTGAGCCCGAACACTGCCTTCCCTGCCACAGTTATCCCCCAGAAAGGAAGACGAGTATGTGAGAATAAATTCACCCATAACGCTTTCACAGAAGGTGCTCAGTAATACCTAGTGGAGGTTTTACTTCGTGCATGTTCCCATCCCGAATCCTCCAAGACCGTCCCCCCAGCGATGGCAGCCCTCTCCCGGACTTCAGTCTGCATGGGGAGCACGTTACCTGGGCATTGGCAATGTCCACGAAGCTGTACTTGTCGGTGAGGTGGAGCTAATGGACAAAAGCGGAGGGCCCAGAGCCGCCAGGGCCTCGGGGTAGCTGTGCAGCTGCTCCAATGCTAGCTGGTAATAGGAAGCCCTGGAAAAAGCTTCTAAGGGGGAAAGACAGTTGTTACATTTATTTTTCTTTTTTAAACTCAGTCAGGTAGACTCTCTATAGAAAGTTGGAGGATACAATTCATGTACAGCTTGGAAACAGAAACAAATGTGAAATTTCTGGATGGAAAATAATTCGGGAACATTTACCCTAAACTGTCCCTTTTAGAGACTCCAAAAGCAAAGTATAGAAAGTCAGTGTTAGGATGTCCCTGGAAGGGGGCGGCCCTCTTGCCAGCGCGCCGGGACAAAGTGAAGGTCAACCAATCACCGAGCGCCAGCACAACCCAATGGAAAGCCCCGAGTGGCTCTCCAGAAGGAACTGAAGGTCAACCAATTACCAAGCAACAGCACAACCTGGCTCGAGAGAAAGACCCACCGGAGCCTAAACCTGGAACTGCCGCGGCTTAAAAACCCTACCCCACCATACCCGGGCGCGACTTCCTTGACTCCTCTCTCTCTCTCCCTGAGTCACAGAACCTCGTCCGAGACCTTAGTTCCCAAATAAAGCCTTTGACTGCTAAAATTTTTTAGCCTCTGACTCCTATCTTTACCCTGCCTTATGCCTGACCCTAACATTTGGTGCCGAAACCCAGGAGGAGGTGGTAGCTCACCTCCCTCGGCTGAACTCCCCCCTCCTCACCAAGCCAGATGCCAACCACCCTACTCTCAAGAGCCTACAGGAGCCGGTAAGTAGGACAGACCCCTCCTTTCCCCCCTTCCAACTACGGCTGACACCCACGAGACACGTCTCGCAAGTCAGTCTCCTCTCCTCCGCACACGGAAAGGCCCGCACGCCAAAAGACCCCTTATTGCAACGCGAGGGACGCCTCGCCTTGCCACGCCAATGGGGAGTAACGAGTCTAAACCACCTCCATCTCTTACCCCCCTCCAATGTCTGTTAAAAAACTTTTGGCTCCTGGGCTTACAAGGTGAACTTCGTCGTAACCGACTCGTCCGCCTTTGCACTGTAGTCTGGCCTCAATACAAATGAGATAATGATTCTCAATGGCCACCTGAGGGGTCTCTACAATACCAAATCTTAACCAATCTGGACAATTTCTGCCATCGGCTGGGAAAATGGGGAGAAATA